TTTAAACATTAGACTTATGTTATCATCTATGCCCTCTATTACAAGGTATAATCCTGCATTCTGAAATTATCCCTTATACTCTTTTTATTTGTGTTTCGACACTGCTTATGATGGTGACGTTAAAAAAGCTTGCAAGTATGGGATGTACACTTGTATTCACGATTTATCAAAGTAAAAGTGTTTGGTTTGTTTGATAGAATATCAAATGGAAACACACACTTTTTTTAGGAGACACTGGCTTGCTTACAGGTAAATATAAAATGTTTGAAAGTATTATTTTCTATTTTTGGCTGGTCACTTTATTGTGTTCGGGTTAGCTTATTTATCTCTCTTCATTGTGTTCGATTAACACCAAATTTGTTGTTCATTGGCTGTCTGTTCTCCCACATATAGCTTGTCATTGTTTTTGTGTTCTCTCATTTGCAAATTGTGTTCAATTGTGTTCTGTCCAAAATTGTGTTCGATAGATTCTAGTCCTTTAATGTTAGTGTGTTCTGTCTAAGTACTTACTCGCTGGGATTATGTTGCATTGTGGTCAACTGTTTATAATTCCTTAACATCATCGTATCATCATTTTATTGTTCTAGTATTCTTCTTTACTCTTTCCCCACTAAAATTCATGTAATACTCGCAGACATGCACATTATCATATTGGATTCTTCTGGTGTTGTTGATATGGAAAGATGGGAGTTCTCGTTGGTATATCATCTACACATATAACATCAGAGAAATTCTAAACTAACATGTAAGTGGATTTGACTTTTACATTTAAAGCTCATGGTTTTTCATACAAAGTGCTTAGTGTTACACTTCCATTTACAAAGTCTTAACATATATTATCTCTGTATCTTGTAAAAGCATGTCGTCTTAGATCCTTTTGCATATAGTTTATATCTTTGTTGCAGCTTTATATTAAACATTTTTCTCTAAACACTAGTAACTTGTGGTTGCATCTTACAATTAGAAGCTCCATAGTACAGGTTTGATGATAGCAAAATGTTTATTTTCTTTTTGTTATTTTGCAGATTCCCTGGCAAATGATTTAAGAAGATTCAAAGTAATTTTTTTTGTACCTTTGAGTTTGGTTGTATTACATTTAAATATTGATTGTGTTACATTTCAATTTGGATTAATATATAACACAATTTACATTTAAATGTTTAATTTATTTTTGTTATCTTTGCAATTTATTTTTTGACAATTTTAAAAACTAAAATTGATTTAAAACTGAATTATGTAATTTATTGAATATATAGTATTTTCTACCAAATCTTTTGAAGGAAAGCTGAAGGAAAATTTGTAGGAAACTAGAGTGAAATTATTCGTAGGAAATTGGAAAGAATAGAGTTTTCGTAGGAAAATAGATGGAAATCATTTGGTAGGAAATTAAAAGGAAAATGTTTCCTACACTTTATTGGAAGTAAAATGGCCGGAAATACCCTTCGCTTTTCTTACGAAAATACCTACAAAATTTCCTTCGGTGCGGTTTTGTAGGAAATTTTCCTACCAATATCTTATCATCTACGATTTCCTACGGGCGATTTCCTACCATTTTTTTCGTAGGAATATCGTAAGAAACAGCTTTTTCCTACCATTTTTTCACGCAACTGCCTGTAGGAAATTGATGTTTTTCTTGCAAGTAGAAATCAAGCGTCTCTCCTTCACACTAACTTCTTCCAATTTCTTCTCTAGTCTACGAAGATTCAATTCTTGCTTACCTTTTTGAAGCAAATCCCAAACATCTTTGGCCGAAGAAGCCGAGAGAGTCTTCCTAAAAGCCGAGTCCGGAAGAGAAGACTGCAGTACCTTGAGCGCTTCCGTGTCTTTTCTCACGAGATCTCTCCATAGTGAAAGTTCTTTAGGTTGAATCGTCGCCGCAAGCTCTGGAATCTTTGTCGATGGGATTCCAATCTCGACGACGTCCCAAAGTCCTTTCTCCGTTAGTGTGGCTTTCGCAACCAAAGCCCAGGTTTCATAGTCTAGATCATTGGATACAGTCGCTGTTGTCATAACTGTAACGGTTAGGGTTTCTATGAACTTTTTTCTTCTTCTATACTATCGGAGAAGGCAAATAGAATCATTTTACTTTACTTTTTGAAATTTTTTTTATAAATAAACAAATAACTTTTATAAAAAAATATATAAACAAATAAGTAAATAAAAAAATATATTATAAATTTCATAAAATTAAGGAGGATTTGCACAAATAACCTTTTTATGATATAATTTTCTACAAGTACCCTCTCTAGGTGTACATTTTCAAAAATACCCTCTTCAATGTGCGAAATGATTAAATTACTCTCCTTTAGTATTACACATGATGAAGAAATGAATATTTTTTCCAATAAAAAAGTTTCCCTTTCCCCAATTCCTTAAAAAATCTTTTTAAAAACCTTGTAAATACTTTTAAAACCCTTAAAAATCCTTTAAATAACCTTGTAAATCTTTTAAAAGTCATCCAAAACCTTTAAAATCTTTTGTAAACCTTTTAAAACCTATGTAAATCATTTTATAACATCTATATTAACATTTTTGCAGCAGTTTTGTAAAGAAAACTTTGGAGTTGAAACTTATTTACAAGCCATTGCCACTCACATTAATTGAATTTGTCCCTAATTTTAGAAAAAAACAAAAAAAATTAGTTACACATCAATAAACAATTAATTCAGAAAAATCCCTAAATTCATTCTCCTCAAATCTATCTAATTTAATCTATTAACAAAAACATTTTAAAAAACTTTTAAACTCAATTTTAAACATATATATATATAGATAATACATAAATATTATTCTAATTATTTTTATGATGCAATTTTTCAAAACAAAACCTAAGTTTATTTTAAAATACTACAAATGAATTTAAATAGTACCAAAAACTTTTTTAAGAAAATTCGCAAATATTATATATTAATTTTTTAAATATTGATAATTCCTAGATTGATGGAACCTATTATTCGATGATTTAGATTTGGAAATCTATATTAATATTTTTGCAGAAATTTATGAAAAAAAACTTTTGGGTTCAAACTTATTTACAATCGCATGTCATTAGCATTAAATATTTATTAAAAAAATATAGAAATAATCATATTTAACATAATTTTTAAAATATCTCCATAATAATAAATACACACCATTATTTTCTTATTTTTAAAATTTATTTCTCTCAAAATTTTGTCCAATATCTTTATATGTTCTTATTTGTTGTTAATGTATTTTTTACATAAAAATATGTATAATAAAAATCCAAATTTGTTTTTGCATATGCTGCAATTTGAATTTTTGAAAATGGACATATATTACAAATTATTTTTCTGCATATGTTTTACGGTTGACAATGGTTCATAACCACAATAAATAAGCAAAAACTTGATTTCTTAAAAGTTTTATTCCGTTATTTTATTTGAACAATGAACAAATAAAAAATTTTTAAAAAGTTTCAAAATATTATAATATATTAAAATTATATATTATAAAAATTTAATTTTGATAGAATGTTTAAATATTCTAAATATTTAAACTATATAAAAAGTAAGAAGTAATATTAATATTATAACGTTTTAGATATTATAAATATTTTGAAAGTTTTTAAAAATCTAAATGATATTAGTATTTTAACTCTACACGAATTTTAAATTAAAGTATTATTGAACTGTCATAACTTTAAACATCGTTTAATTTTTTGGCGATTATATGACGGGACGTTTGTAAGACGGATATGATTGTTAATTACATTTTAAAACTTTTTAAGTAATATTATTATTTTAACTCTGCACTAAGTTTAAGCTAAAGTATTATTGACCTTGCTATAATTTTAAACATGTATCGACAGGAAGGGATGTAATATGCTTTCAACAAATTATATGACGAGATAGATTGTAAGACGGGACGAGTTTGAATTAATATTAATAAAAAGTTAAAATATCAATAATCTCATACTTCAATACCGGTAAAATTTTCATTTTACTATTTTTTAATAACATCAATATAGGACATGTGTAATCAAAATGATTTAAGTAAGATTAATATTATGTAATCTTAATATTTATTAAAAAAATTCCAACAATATTTGTAAAAGTTTTATAAATATAAATTAAAAATAAAATGTTTGTCCCGCGGTGTACCGCGGGATAAAATCTAGTTTATAAACACTTGTAAATCTCTTTAAACCCCTTATAACCATGGTAAATCCTTTAATAAAAACTTATGTAAACTCCTAAAAGCCCTTTAAAAACCCTTGTAAATCCTTAAAATCCATTTCAAAGTCCTTCTAGTGCCTTCAAAAACCTTTGTAAACCCTTTAATAACCTTTGTAAACTTTTAAAACCCTTTAAAACCCCTTGTAAATTCTTTTAAACTATTTTTAAATTCTTATAAATGTCTTTAATACACTTGTAAATCCTCTTCAAAACCGCTTTAAAAATCCTTGTAAATCTTTAAAACCATTGTAAATCCTTTAAAAACCATGCAAAAGCCTTTGTAAGCTTTTAAAACCCTTTAAAAACCATTACAAATCTTTTAAAAACCATTTAAAAACTCTCTTTAAAAACTCTCTTTAAAAACTCTTGTAAATCCTTTAAAATACCCTTTAAAAATGGGTTTTGTGCAAAAAAACCATTAATGTAGGTTTTTTTGCAAAATTAACCTCCAAATTGATAAAATGCAGGTCAATACCATAAACTTAAAAGTCACCCACAATACAGCCCTTGCTTGTATCGATGACGTGGCATCCGTCTAAAACGTGTAAAAACTTAACAGTGTACCAAACGACACCGTTTTTCTCTCTTTGGAAAACGATAAAACATTTTTTTCTTCTAACCTTACAATCTAAACATAAGAAATCGTTCTGGGATTTTAGGGTTCTTCATTAGAAACGATTTGGGGGAAAAGAGAGAGAGAGTTGGTGATATAGATTTAGGTTGTCGATTTCAATTAGGGTGTAGTCTTTTGTTTCCTCCTTATTCCTCAATTTCTTGTCCCTCTCTTTATGTTTCTTCACAATGTCAGGAAGTTCTCACTCTTTACCCAACGTGGATCGAATTAAATTTGATGATGCTGATTGTGGGATTCCAATTGTTTGTTTCTGTGGTGGAAGGGCACAGCTTGAACCTTCTATGAAAAGGACAAATCCAGGAAGACTCTACTACACATGTCCAAACCGAGATGTAAGTTATTGTATATATTGGAATTTTTAGAATGAGGTTGAATTATTGTAGATAACAAAAGTGGGTTGTGGGTATTTTTAGAATTGTTTGGTTGAATTGTTGAATTTTGGTTACATTTTTGAGTTTTGGTTGAATTGTAAAATTCTTGAATTTGTATGTGTAGGATGGAGAATGTCACATTTGGAAGTGGTGGGATGAAGCTATTGTGCAAGAACTAACATCTTTGAGGCAAGAAATTCATGAGTATCCAACTATGAATCAAATGCGTGAAACGCTTTTGGTCCATAGAGACGAGATTTCTCACCTCTATAATCTCCTATCGGAAAATGAAAATGAAATGGCAAGGCTTAAGGTGTTGATTGAAAAAAAAAGCGATGGAATTTCTATGGAGTTGAAGAATACGGTTGTTGCGGCTTTTGTTGTACTTGCAATAATAGTCTACATGTTTAAGTAGATTAGTACAAGTATTATCGTTCAAAACAATGTGTATTATGGTCTTTAATATGTTTAGAAGACTTTATCCTGAGTACTAGAGGTAGTTAGAATTTTAATACCTTGACCATGGACAGAAAAGAGAATTCTTCAAGTCATTAAAGGCCACATTATTATACTCTTTCAGTTCTTGCATTTTTCTATCAAACTGTTGTTGATAGTATGAGTCAGCAGCAGACCAAAACATGGACTCATATTCAGCTCCAGCATATCTCTTCTTCCAGTTGGCATATACATGCCTTGCACACATCCTGTGTTCAGCATAAGGCAACACTACCTTCACTGCTGCAATCAATCCTTTCTGCTGGTCACTACCTAGTGTTAATCCATTTCCTACATCTAATCCTAAATCATCAACCAAATGCTCAAGGAACCACAACCAATTTGGAGTATTCTCACAATCCACGATGGCCCAAGCGACAGGAAACATCTGATCATTGGGATCTCTTCCACATGCAACTAAAAGCATTCCTGTCATTCTCCACTTTAGAAATGTTCCATCTAAATGAAGAATTTTCCTACAAGCTCTCTTCCACCCATTCTTTAAAGCACAAAGCAAACATAAAATCTATGAAACCTTGTTTCCCTTACCTCACATTCAACAGTGGATCCAATATTGCTTCTCTTCAACTCAGCAACATATTCGAATAGCCTAGCAAAAGACTCTTCTTGTTCTTCATCAAATTTCTTAAGACATTTCAGTCTTGTTCTCTCACAAATAGTCCAAGACACATTTATGCTGCGTCTAAGAAGCTTCTTTTGCAACTGATCTGCTGAGAAATCTGAATTTAGTCTAAATTCTTCTATGTAGAGATCCGTAATCCGAGAGTTAGTCAGTAAAGACACTTTTCCTTGCCAAGTGCAAGTATGCTCATCTTGTAACGACCTCACCACTACTATATTACAAGTGCTGTTGATGCTTGCTGAAATCCTCCACGGGCATGCCTTTCCAGAGCAAATTGCAATAACACGTTTGCCATCTAACTTCTCATACTTGATGTCCCTCCTCTTCTTCACAACATATCTAGTAACATCTCTTTTAAAAGATTCTATTGTATTGTACTCATCACCAATTCTCCACTTCCAATACTTGCTCTCATCTACCTCAACATGTCGACTATCATCATCACTACTACTATAAATTATGTCTTCAAACTGATTCTCATCACCACCATCATCTGAATCAGAGGCACTACCAGCAACCAATGTGTCATCTTCACCGTCAACCAAAGTCTCATCTTCTGACAGATACCTCAGAGCATTAGTATCAATGTGCCTACCTATGTATGGATCATCTTCTCGAACAATATATAAGGTTAATGCACATGGTCCAATTGCGTAATGAACCGCTTTCTTCATGGCTTCATCATTATCAATATCTTCTTTCTCACCAGGCGTTTCTACTGGAAACCAAGAGACTTTCTTCATGTTGTCTTCATACCCAACAAAATACGAGAGCAGAAGCAGAACCGTGGCTAACTTGAATGATTCAGCAGATACTAGACCCACATTATGTGTCTCTCCTCCAAGATATTGGTCCTCATTTGACCAATATCCTCCAGCAACCATAAACAAATCAAAGCTGAACCAAAAGAAAAAATATCAATTCTCAGAAATTTCAAACCTCAGTCTGTATGTAATCGTTGATAAATCTCATAAAAAAATAGATTCTCACCTCATCTTTGCTCTCCTTTGATTCTCGAATCCGTCTCCTCAAATCCCAAGATATGAAGACGATGAAGAATATCTATTCCGTCTCCTCAAATACCAATTCCCTTCCTCTTGAATTTGACACGATGAAGACGATGAAGAAGCTAATTGAATCTGACAGTATCCTACTCGAATCTAATAGAACCCTAATCAAGACACAATACAAACTCTCTCTTTTCCCCAAATCAAACCTAACAGAAAACCTAAATCTGATATTTGCCCAAATCGAGTCGAAATCCCGAAAACGATTAGATTACCCCAAATCGATTAACCCCAACTCATGAAATCGAAATCGAACGACTAAGGACGCTTCACGAAAAATGTTGTGTTGTTTGTAAACTTCAAAAACAACACGATTTTTGGATGTTCTATCGTTTTCCAAAGAGAAAAAAACGGTGTCGTTTTGTACACTGTTACGTTTTTACACGTTTTAGACAGATGCCACGTCATCGATACAGGCAAGGGCCGTATTGCGGGTGACTTTTAAGTTTATGGTATTGACCTGCATTTTATTGATTTGGAGGTTAATTTTGCAAAACAAAAACTACATTAATGGTTTTTTTGCACAAAACCCTTTAAAAATCCTTGTAAACCCTTTAAAGAAAATTTAGCGGGAAAAATTTTGTAATTTTTTTTTTTTTTGCGGAAAGTTTTTTGGCTGGAAAATTTTGTCGAAAACTTGTTGGCGGGAAATTTTTTGTCGGATAATTTTTTGGCGGGAAAATTTTGGAAGGAATATTCCATCCAAAGGAAAGAATATTCTTTCAACTAGGGACAAAATAGTCACTAAATGTTTAAGAGAGGGCAAACATGAAAATGGTAAAAAAGAGGGTAGTTTTGCAAAAGGGTATCATAAAAAGGTTATTAGTTAGAATTTCTCTAAAATTAAAGATATAGATACTGTATAATAGAGCAGAATCTAGAATATGTTTCATTGCATATTTGCATAATATTTCCTATCTTTTATTTTTGTTACGGTGTGTAAAGCCCGTGAACCAAATATGGGATTTCGGTATGGGGTCGATCAATATCAGTGGCGGATGTCGCTCGACACCAAAGGAGTCAGGTTATTTGGTTTGTTCTTCGATTTTGTGCGGTTTAGTGTGGTTTGGAGAAACCCGATCTTTTTAAAGGGAGGAGTCACTCTTCGTGTATAGGGGTTCTCTAGTTAGCCATTTCCTACCCTAGAGAAGAAAAAGAGAGTGGTGGAGGTCTCTCCCTTGGAAGGGAGGAGAAAAGAGATCCATATTCATGTGTGTGGAGGTATATGGGTACTTGGGGTGTGACATGGAGGCTCTATCATAGCTACTGTCTATGTATTTAAAGATTAATGTATTATTTTCACAATTTTCCCACTGCGTGTGCCCCTATATTATCTATTTTTGAAAAAGAGGACTATTCTAACAATTTTTTTTATTGGGATTTTAAAATGAAAACATTGACTCTGAATTATATGCAACTAGGTTCGGACCCGCACGTACGTGCGGGATTAATTTTAAAAACTAAGTTTATAATATATTTCATATGTGCAGAGTCTTGTTTGTAAACATAATTTGTAGGAATATTATTAACGTTCATAATCCAAAGTTCTATTAGTTTAGTATTCTTTTTTTAAAAAAATTTAAATAAAAAAATTATTGGATTTGTTTTTGCTATTAGTAAAGACAACTACATATAAAAAAAATAATAATAAGAGAAATGTGGTTTGTCTATTTCATAATTGAAAATTCATCCCGTCTTCTCTCACATATGTCTTGTTTTTCCATCTCATAATTGTGGTTTTAATTATAACTTACTCATTTGTGATTGTATATTTTAGTATAACAGACAGAGAAATAGGTAAAATATTTAGACTCGCACGTACGTGTGTGGTTTTGATGTTTCATCCCGTATTTTGTTACAAAATCATTTATATGATGTTTTGTTATCCGAAGTATAAGTTGTCTTCCTGTTCCCGTTATTTCATGTCTTGATATTTTGAAATAAATAAGAAAGTGGAAATTGAATTTAGAAATTTAAATTTCATGTCCACGTATCGTACTCGTTATTTTATATTTGAAAGTTGAAATTAAATTTAACTTTATGATATTGCCTCTTAACCATTATATCTCATCGTGTTTTGCTTATTTTATAAGAAATAGTTTAGATAATGTTTGTTTTTTTTTAATTCTATGTTTTGTCTTGTACCTATTCCAATAAGTTTATATTTTTTTAATAAATAACACCATTTACATGTTATAAAATAAATTTTTAATATATGTAAAATTTTATATAATCACTCAAAAGTAGAGACGTGTACGTTCCAAAGTTGACTTTAATTCAATTTTTAAGATTTTGAAAATTTAATATAACTACCCTTTTTTATTCCAACCCGATATCCAAAATTTATATGTCATATTTGTCAACGATAGGTTGAAATTGTACTTATATATGTGGGATAATATTTTTAGATATATATTTAATATATCATTTATCTATAGTTTGGATTCATATCAGTTAGATAGTTAAGGATTTTGTTCTTAACTACTTGATTTTTTTTTTTTTGAAACTTACTGACGTATAAATTAAATCATAAAAATATAATCAATTTGTTATTGAAATTTGATATATCCACTTATTATTTAGTTTTAATGTTAATATATATTTTATATGTTTATAATCTCAAAATACTGTTTAAGATTTGATAAAATAATTAGTTAAGAGTTGACTATAGTATTCATATGCAAATTGCCTATGGATGTAGATTTATTTTGTTAAATTGTGTGAAATTAATAAGAAAAAGAAGTCTGTAATAATTATTAACTAATTGGGTGATCCAAAAAAAATCATTAACTAATTGAATTATTTATAAATTTAGTAGATATCCATTTTTAGAAAATATTTCTTATTTTATAGTTACTGTATATATATTACTGAGAATTAACTTTAATGATATATTTGTAAAATATTGTCAACTGTTTTAATTTAGTAGTTAATGAGGTACAAATATATATGAAATCTTGAATTTATAACGATCAAACTTTTACAATGTAATTAAACTTTTTTTTGGATAGTTTGTATATTTGAAATCACATTATAGTTAGGAAAAAAAATAATCGATTCAATATTTTTTTAACTGTCGATTTGTTATGTCAAGTTCTAGTTATTAGGGTGATTGAATTAGTTCTGTATTACTGAATAATTATTTAAAAATTGGATTTTGATTTTTTTTTAAGAAAAACAGAAATATCTCATATCTAATTAATATATTTCAAATTCTTTATTTTTTGTGCTATATTTTCGAGATGGTTTTTTTTAAGATGAAGATTTTATGTGTAAATAACAGAATTTCTGTGATATATAATGTTTCACATGATTTTAACAAACAAAATTTTAATTATTAATTTAATTAAGTTTTTTTCTTCAAATATTTTAGATTATTTATTTATGATTATATTTTTAAAAATTTGATGATATAATTAATTATGTTGTATACTTCTCCACATTTTATGATATGTAGAATTTGATTAGTCACTTATTTTATAATCAAACATATTTTTCATCTTTATTTTTCTTAAATATAAATTATTGTTTTCAAAATATTCTAAAATATATAATTAATATTAAATCTGTTTACATATGTTTACTTTCGAATTCAGTTTTCCATTTTTTATGGTAATAAAATTAATATGATTTCCATAAATATAGATAATTTTAGTTTTTTTAATTTATTTAATTAAATCTTTTTGCTGTCTTTTAGTGTGTTTGGCTACATGGTTGGGATTGTATATTTTGTAATATATTTTTTTCAAGTTTGTTTGGCAACAAAGACAAATAATGTTCCCCAATTAATAGTATAGATTTCATTTTGTGGTTGTTAACATAAGAAACTCATTGTTCAAACAATATTATATTTCATAATAATATATTTCATATCTTATGAAAATTTATCCATAATTAATTTTTTTTTGCCACCATAATTAAATATTATATAAAAGAAAATATGTTTACTCTAGAATTATAAATATGGACTAACAAAAAAAAAATATCACTTACTATTATAATATATCAAATCTTTATTCTAAAATATATTATATATATAAGTTAATACTAAATAAAATTCAACCTCATATCCGCTATGGTAGGTTTTTTATAGCGCTTTCACCAACGCTATTTCTACTCCCGTTATAAAAAGTCTTGTACTTTTGTATAACATTTCAGGGATATGCTATTGTTTAGTTAATTTATAATAGTGTTTTTCTGTGCAATATAAAAGTTTATAATAACATTTTTTGCGTTATATTAAACTTTATAATAGCATTTTTTAACTGTTTTTATTTTTTTTATAGCCGTCGTAAAGTTGCCACGTAATATTGCTTTAGTTTTTTTTTTTGAATTTCGTATTTCAATGATCAAAATATGAAATTCATAAACGGAAATTTTATAATAGAAACACACATACTCGTAGGAAAAAAAAAACACACACACACACGCAATCATTATATTACAAAAAAAAAAGGATCATTATATTACAAACGTACTGATACCAATAGTTATCACACACTAACACAACACCTAGAAGTTTTAATAAATAAGTTCTAAAAAGCACACAAAACATGAAGCTTTAACAAGTGCGTGTATCACAATAACTTAAGCTTGTCATTAGGCCAAGCAACCGTCGTACATATAGTATCAGCAAGACACTCGACTTCAGAATTTGGTCTCCACACAGGAGCATCACCAATCTTCGATACATCTACGGCCAAACGAGTTCATCCGGTTTGTTCTGTATTTTTGGGATTTGTTCTGTGTTCTATGATTCATTTGGTTTCATGGGTTTTTTCTTTAATCTCTCTCACTTCGAAAAAGTGATTTTTTATGTGTTCATGTTGGATTATAATTGTCTCGCACTCCCCTTTTCCTCTTCACGTTTAGAGAACTTTGTGCTGAAAGGAGTTAGACTGTGTTGTTAGATTGTGTTGTTTGATTGTGTTGTTTGTGACTGGTTACGTTTAAAGAATTAGATTGTGTTGTTCGTGTCTGGTTACATTTAAAAAATTAGATTGTGTTTATGTATTAATGGGCAGGGTAGATCATCTACCCAAACCTTCGTAGCGTCAGTACCCAAACCTTCGTAACGTCAGTACCCAAACCTTTGTAACGTCAAGACCTAAAGGGATGAAGTGTACTCGATCATTTGGGTCAGTTGAACAAACAAGACCTGGTTGATGACTGACATTGCGACAATCGATGCACGGATATAAAATCTCAGACGATAACCCAAAGATTTTAATATTGCATTCATAAATTGTTTTGCCCCTTCAGCGTACTCAATGGTATTCCTGTAAACAAAACCATCACGTCCTACTATCAAAATCATTCCTATAACTAACAAACACATTTGTAATTAAAAACAAAACAAAAACAGTGAGAAAAAGGATTCACAATCTTATGAGTCAGCTAAAGTCTTCTTTTGACAAAGAACTTGTAGAATCTGTTTTAAAAAAATAAAATTAAAAAAGAAAAAGAAAACGATTATACTCATTAAACACAAAGCCTAACACACAAAAGTTTAAGAAGTCACAAGTCTTAAAATACGAATGATCTCACGAGTCTAAAAATCACACATTTATTATGAAAAACAAATCGATTACTGATGGAAACAAGTCTAATTCATAAAATCAAAACCCAAATTAGACCCCAAAACCCCAAATTATTACCTTCGTCTTCTGCGAAACTTGACGCAAACGAGCTACCTGAAAAAATCAGAAAATTAATCCAAAATGATTAGTTGCTGTGATTCCCCAAAGCAGAATCGAAAAGGATTAAGAAGTTCATATAACTGTAGTTGTGAAGACTAGCCCAAAGCTACCTACAAAAAGAGGATGGTAATCGAAACAAAATAAACCCTAAATCGAAACAAAATAAACCCAGAAAAACGAATTGAACCTAGACCTCAAAAGTTACCTTGATTTAGAAGATTTGCCACGAAAGCGACATGCCGATCTTCAGACTATCACGGTGAGGAAGAAACAGAAAAAGTGAAAGAGATAGGAGTAATAGAATATAGGGTTATTCTGTTTATATTGCCTTGTAAATAATTGAATCCCTAAGGGGAAATATTCAGCTTTCAAGGAGAAACACAAAGAAATGTTCTTTTTGGCTAATTGTTTTTTTTTTTCAAAGTGTTAATTCTTTGTCTTTTGGCTAACCACAGAATTGTACACGCGGGCAACAATAAAAAATATCCGCCTAAACATAATATAGCACTAGCTTTGTATCACATGCAATCAAAATAAGGGCTTGAGTATAAAATTTAAATGGAAAATTAACTTTATACAAATATATATATATATATATACTTTTAATAGAACCGACAATTAGTAAACGCTACGAAAAGATGATGTCTTGCACACATTCATTGCGGATAATTAAAAAATGATATATTTAGATGCTATTACTAACTCAATTTTTTTGTATAGGTTTCATATTCTTAATAAAAACATGAAAGATAGGTTTGGATATAAAGGTCAACCAAAAGATTTCTAAAAAAATCAACTTTTGCATTTGGGCTTCTTCTTTACGCTTCGCTCTTCCTCTCTCGCAATAATTTCAGAAAGAATAATCAAAATCGTCATCGCTTCTTCTATCTTCTTTAGCTCCAATTCTTTGGTTGAGTAGATAGAGCAAAATCATATTGATAATTATTCTTCCATGTTTTTATCTTTTTTGCCATGAGACCATCTTTATGATCTTAGATTGTAATCTTAACATCTTCATGTTTAATGAAATATTTACCTTCTTAGCAAAAAATAATGAGACTTGGGAGTGACTAGTGAGTGTAAACAACACGTAGAAGAAGATCAATAGAAATCCAACGAGCACAGGTACGCTCTCAGCTGAAAAATAGCAAATGGAATGTGGCCTAATAATGTGAAGCCTAGTAGTATAGCAAATTGGTATGGGCTTTTTAGATATTAGGATTGGGCTATGATTCCGTTGACATTATAAAATTGGAACTTAAATGTTGTTTGGACTACGTTGTATAGATTTCACATAGTTTTAACTAGAGAAAGTTACACACGAGCTTTTTTTAAATGGACCGATGCTTCAAATCTGTGGCTTGGCTACCCGTCATGTACTTGTTTGTTTTTGATACGGGCACGGTTCTTCCTAAACCAATATATAGGTCGGATATATAATTATTTAGATCTTCAGGGGTAAATCTGACAATCTTGCATGATCCGACCGGGTATTTTTTGTAGAATCCCGTATACCCGGGAATGAGTTTTGTTGCTACAGAGGCTTGGATCTCGCCTCTAAGTTTTGGGTCGGGTACAACCCAAATCTTGTGTTTCTTGTAAGCCTCTTCGAACGCTTCGTTGAACCGTCTCAGTGACTTTTCCGCCTCCGCTTCCGTTGTTAAATCTTTCGGGAGCGATGTAACCACATCTCCCCATGCCTTTTTCTCATATTTCTCGAGGTATTGCATCACCTTAACTTCGTGATTCGTCACCCAATCGTCTCCGAGTACGACCCTAAGATTCGATGTACGGACCTTTGTCACAACGTAATCAAGGTTGTTCGCGAGGAACAGATATGAGAGAGCCGAGTCGTTGTACAGACGAGATTTGGCGTCAATTTTGCAGAGCAAGACAAGAATCAACCACGCGAATCTCGCCGCCATCGGAGATCGATCACCGGATCCTGGATTTTCTTCGCCGCTGCTTCTGAAGTAATCCTCCGGCAAAGGTAATGATAATGACTCCTTGAGAATAGTGGCGAGCGAGTCGCTGTAGTCTGCAAGGAAGACGATGAAGTTCATGACATACCTCGTGAGCTGATGAACTCCGCCACATGGAATCGCTGATTTTGACGACTCTTTCGTAATCGACGTTTGAAACTCCGTCATCATTGCATTCACCGATTCAGAGAGTTTATCTAGAGATTCAACCGCTTGTGATCTGACAGAAGCGGTCGAATCGTAGCTGAAGATCTGATCGATTTTAGGAACTAGGTGTAGGATCGTCTGGTAAACGTCGAGTGTTGGGAAGATCTTCTCTGCAGATTTTTTGGATTTCGCTACAGTTAGTGAGAAGATGAAGAGGTTTAACGCTCTCTGTAGTGTAATCTCCACGAAGCAAGACTCAGCGACGGAGGAGGTAAAAATGTGATCGGAAAGGATTCGCTCTCCATTGAACAGAGTGGTGATTGCTACCCTCGCAACCCTCACCCATATTTTGATCTTCTTCTCTAGAATCTCCCATTCCAGTTTCTGCATTTGGGTAGAGGTTAACTTCTCAAACCCTAGATTAGATAGTGCGTCGTCGATGATCTTTTTTCGAAATTTCTTGTAGATTTTAACACAATCTTTCTCGTAACCAGAAGAGATCATACAATTTGCTATCATCTTTAAATCCACGATGGCATCAGAATTTCCAAATCCTCCTATATCGTTACCTAATTCAGATGAGGATTCAGAATCAAGCTCGTTATCATCAGATGAAGAATCCGAAGCGTTTCCACTTGATCTCGATGGTGTGCTGGCCTCGGACGATCTCGAAGACCAACCGGAGACGGATTCTGGATCCAAAAACCGGTTGTTCGATTTCATAACCCGATAAAACTCCTTTTCTAAATGCTTCATAGCTTTGCGCATCAAATCCTGCCCTTGAGCAAGCTTAGCGGAGTCTGGATTCACCACAACAGTACTTTGAATGGCGTATTGTAACCTGCCGAGAACCTCGAGGAAGCGCCTGCCTTGTAGACGATTTTGGGGGGAGAATAGGGAAGAGATGATGCAGGAACATGTAGAAGAATCGTTGTGGTGTGGAGAAACCCATTCGGTTATGAAAGCGTCAACAACATCCACACTATCGCCAATTAGAGACTCAGAGAAGCCCTGTTGCTGTTGCGGCCGGGGTTTAGAGGATTTTAATAAGGCAGAGGGTTTCAAGAGCACCATGTTTCTTGGTTTGAAGAAAGAAGTCTTATTTGTGTTGGGGTATTTATTGATCGTATATGGTGGTAAGGCTTTTTCAAAGGAAAATCTATTGTTTCGACAACTGTTTTTTTTTTTGTTGGAGCTGTTGGGTCCAAAGTCCATCAAATTGTACAAGCTGGTCGTCCCTCTTTTTCTCTCATTATTGTTCTTAAATTTGGAAAGTAATTAATAAGCCTAGCAATTAAGTCTTTGATTTTGGAACAACAATTTGTTTCTCTTTAGATTATGTCAATTGTCATTTTGGAACAACAATTTGTTTCTCTTCAGATTTTTGCTTTGCAATTTGGTTAGTCACCAAAAATATGATATTGCCTAGCTGGATTAAACATATGTGAAGAATTTATTGGTTGTGCCAACACAGACAGTTTAGTTTATCTAAAAATATTAAAAGACAAAAAAAAAACAAGATTTCTGACATTCTTACATATACTTAGTTAGAGACATTTTGTCAAATAGTCAATGATGGGAGAGAACGGTTTTCTCTATTTCTGTTTGTATGTGAAAATTGGAATTAAAAAAAGGGTGGTTTGTTGTGAAATTAATAGATTTAAAACATTTTTATATAGTTAAGGAACATGCGCGACGAGGAGGTGTTTGTATTAATTATTTTTAAACTTAAATAATTATTTAAATAGCTATACACTAACATATAGTATGTAAAACATATTATAATGTTTTAGTTTTGATATTATTCAATACAAAAATTCTTTTATTTATATTTTTACAAATCTCTTATTTTGTTTAAAATTTTGTTTTAATAAGAAACAAAATGTAAAACTTATATACAATTCTTTTATAGATTGGGGTGGGTAATAATATAATAAAAAGATGAAAAAAGTCTAATTCAAACTTTTCAAAGTAATTTTAGGTGATTTTGAATAGTGAATCATTCTGAATAATTACTTATATAGTATAAATTCCTTATTTTCAAAATTTTCTTTTGTTTTCTATATCCGTTTTTTTCTTTTCAATAAAATATGTATTATTTAAAAAAACAAATTATGATCAATTTCCTTAGATATAAATTTCAGTTTGAAAATTCAAATATTTTTATTTTTATTCTATGTATTTCGAATAACAAAATTTCTATTTAGAATTTGTTTACATATTTAAAATATTTTATAATTTTGTTTATAAAATATTATAATTTGATTATTTTTAGATCATGTTGTTAATAACAAAATGTTATATTTAGATTAGTTTCTATATCTGAAAATATTTATGTTCTTTCCTTATATCATTTCTTTATTTTTACAGAAATTTAAATATAGAATATAATTGTTATTTAAAAATTGTTAATAATAATAATGAGATGATCGATCAGGATTACAAGGGTTACAAGCTCTGCAACAAGGGCAGAGGAAGCTAACAACCGGGAGGAAGATCCTTTCACTACCGCTGATGCTTGATCATCCAAACCACTCCAAACAAGAGGGACTTTTGGGAAGACAAATAGGAAATGGGTGCCAAGGTTAGCAAGCATAGCCCTAAAGAGAGGCTGTACTTGCCAAATTACATTGACATAAACATATATGTGAATGCTAGAAATTTGGACAAATCCCTTAGTAACATACTGATACGATCGACACTCGGAAAATTGAGGAAATGATAGACTTTACACCTAAGGGATCGGGAGATCACTTAGATCAAAGGATATGGAGCGAATGGTCGCATAAAGGTTGCAGAAAGCCTTAGATTTACCAGATTTAAACTCGTCCTTGGATATTATGCACCAAAGAGAAGAACAAGAGATTGATCTAAATTTAGAAAGAATTTTTGATATAAAGATTAGATGCTTACAAATGAGGGGTAGAGGGGGATTATATAGGAGATGATGATGAAGGAGAAGAGGGGAGAGAAGAAGAACATGCAAGAGCAGTCAACACTCATGCAAGCTCATGCAAAATTTCTTGGAAATTACAAAAACATTAAATGTAAGAATGAAGAGAAAAAAATAGAAAATAGGCCAAGGCAAAGTGTTGGGCCTTGGACCCACAAAATTTGTTTCGTAAAAGGCCTTCAAAGTGTTACTTAGGGCTCATTAAAAACCATGACAAAAAAAACCATTGGGACAAAACTTGAAGAGAAAAAGAGTGCATAAGCAACACTTAACCCTTTATCAAACCCCTTGAGCCGTAATGATCATTGAGGATATTTGAACTAAAACCATGGCGGTTTGTTTAGCTTCTTTACAAGCACTTCCTCAGCTGCAAGCTCATCCTCGGGTACGAGATGCTCCTTGGGTGCGAGCTGCTCCTCGACTACGAGCTGCCCCTTGGCTACGAGCTGCTCCTCTTCTACGGATTCTTCCTCGGGTACGAGCTTCAGGTTTTGTTCGGCGATAGTCATATCACATACCAAACTAGAACAAGTCTAATAGAGACCTCAATACAAGGTAAGGTGGAAACATCATTAAGGTGAGCCAAGTGAGTCGAAACCCAGCCCAAGAGCATGCCAACTTATTCCATGATAAATCTCTTTGATTCCAAATGAAAAAAGATTGTCATCCTCGCTTCTGCTCCAAACAAATTTGCCTTCAGCATAATGCTTCCTGAGATAATACCACTTAACACAAGTGCGGTATTTAGGAAGAAAATAAACTCCTTCAAGGAGAGATGATGACTATGAACGTCCAAATAGACCAAATTCACTAGAATGTTGCAAATAACATGAGTTCTCTGTCCACGCTGCCACAAAAAGAAATTTTTTGATTTGTGTTTTATATTGAATAGATTATTGGGGATTTGCAAATATAACCTTTTTAGGTTACCCTTATGTACAGATACCCTTCCTTGGTAGTTTCCATTTTCAAAAGAGAAAATTGTGGCTTATGCCATGTACAGTGATAAACTTTTTACTCAGTGCCATTTGTTCCCTACCTTCTTCCGCATGCCACAATGTGTACACTAAAAGACGATTATACCCTCCTTCTAATGAAACCTGCAAACTGAAAGTGACCTTTCATATTCTTCTCTTCTCTTCTCACATCTTTCATATCTCTCTCTCTCTCTCCTCTATATCTTTTCTTCTTCTTTCATTTTCTTCATTCTTTCTCCAATAACAAACCAAGGGATTTCAGATTCCACCAGCGTTTGCTCTAACGAAAGGATATCAATAAGTTCTACATATGCTGCCTAGAAGTTGTGCGCTGCATCTCTAATGGGTCAACTCGATTTACCAGATCTGGTAGATAAGATCCGGTGGACCATAATTAGTGAACCAGTTCGTGAGATATTTTTAACCCATGTGTTCCCTACAAAGAGATCTCAATCAGCTTTGCAGATGCTCTATAGAGATTGTGTGTTGTATTTTTGACGAGCCAATTCAGATGGAAAAGATATGGTAGACTGTATCCAGTGAACCAGTTCCGATGAACCAAACTTGTAGATTTTTACTAAGTAATCGTGTCCATCATGAAGATCTTCTGAAGCCAAAAGCGATCAAACAGATGATGAAACAAGTGATGCGTCTATGGAAGATATCATCTACAATCCATCTAGGTTTACACTTTGGATCACACATTTGTCTATAGATGGACCAGATCTCGTGGACTAGATCCAGTGGACCAGACCCGATGTCTGTAATATGTCCATATTTTGTTTCCTAACTTGTTGTTTATCGTATTGATACTATAAACTAAGTCCATTTTAAAAAAAATAAACTTGTCTATAATACATATGTTAGTGGGGTAATAATGTTGGGTAGTGAAAAAAGAACAACCAACAATGATGGATGATACATGTATCTATCTTGCCCGCCGTAATTAAGCTGCAACACTCGAAAATCTCTTCTCCTTCTTCAGCACCCACAACTGTCACAAATTCTCTCTACTACTTGTCCTCCATTAACACCCACCCAGATCTGGTATTTGTTTTACCTTCTAATCTCTAATCACCCATTTAACAATTGTCCTCTAGATATTAACCTACATCCCAGCTATTAAATGCAACTGTTATCTGCTGCAAAATATGTCTCATCCCGTACTATTTTTTGAACCAGCACAATTTATGTTCTCAGTTAGCGAGGGCAGTAACATCTTTTTGTCTCTACATTAAAAATGTAATATGGCACTGCAGAAAATAGATTGGGAAAACTGGCAGTTTTAGTTTTATGGGTTTCATAAAGGGAATACCCAACAAAATTCACTTTTCAAAATACCCTCTTCCAGGTATAAAATGACTAAATTACTCTCTTTTAGTGGAATCCACGATGAACAAAGGAATATTTCCTCCAACAAAAAAAATATTCCGTCCAAAATATTCCCGCCAAAAATTTCCGATAAAACTTTTTACGCTAAAAATGTTTCCACCATAAATAAATCTGCAATTCCTTAAAAAAATCAACTAGAAAACCTTGTAAATATTTTTAAAACTGTAGAAAATCCTTTAAACTCCCTTGTAAACCTTTTAAATCACTTAAAACCCCTTATACCCGTGGTAAATCCTTTCAAAACTTTCATAAACACTTGTAAAACTCTTTACAACTCTTATAAAATTCTTCTAAAAAATCTTGTAAGTCTTTAAAAATAAATTAAAAACCATTTAAAACCCTTGTAAACCCTTTAAAACCCCCTATATACTTGAAAAACCATTTACAAACTCTTGTAAATCACTTTGAAACCCATTTAAAACCCTTGTAGATTTTGAAAAGGGCAATATTAGTAGATAACTATAGATTTAAAAAGAATTGAGAAAATAACTATAGGATAACTATGGACCCACATGTTGGAAGATATATGTGACTAAACTAGCCTTTTGCAATTCATTGCTTACAGTTCAAAGAGAGAGATGTGTGGGGAAGAGAATCCAACAATATTAATGAGATATTACAAATCTGGTGGAGGTGTTGATGGTGGTAGTGGCGGTGATGGATCAGAGCAGTGAAGTTCAGTGTTGACGGTGGTGGTGATGGATCGAAATAGGGAAGTTCGATAAGGTTTAGTGTTGATGGTGGTGATGATGGATCAGAGTGGTGAGATTAAGTGTTGATGGTGAATAGATCGGAGTTTTGGAGGTTCAGTGTTGAGAAGATAGTTGGATTAAGTGTTATTTAGTATTGATGGTGGTGGTGGTGGGGAGACACGTTGTCTATGGTGGTGGTAGTAGTATAAATTGCATAAAATATTGATAAATATGTTAATTCGTTTAAAAATAATGTAATTATGTTAGTAAGTGTTGAATTAAGTGGAATAACAAGAGAGAGAGAGAGATGCTAGATTTGAGTAAC